AAAATTTGGGAAGTCATCCATTAATATATACCTATTGTTATTTAAGGCTCCATAAAAAAAAGTCCCTTTTCGTCAGAATCATCAAAATTGAGATAAACTCATGGAGAAATAGCCCGTGGTCTGCTCTTTCATAAACGACAAAAACTTTTATTGGACACCTCTCTTTGCTTAAAAAGTAAGAATTTTAGAAGAAGGATCACGAGAGAGACTGGATACTGACGTGCTTTTGAAGAACAAAGATCAAAGAAAAGAGAATCAAGAGGATCGAGATGTATGTAGTAAGGATACACCATAACAGATGCTGTTTATATTTCTCACAACTATCATATGACCAATAACAAAGGCATGAATTGATTAATTTATAACATTCAGAAATAATGAATATCAATGTTTCTGAGCTCATCATGATACATACTAGATCATTAAGATCTGTTGTGGATATACCGAATGTGTATCAATTATCTCGAAACTAGAAAAATAATAAAGTTTACAAAAAGAGGAGAAGGTCGTTATGAAACAAAAGTCTTGAACTAATAAAAAACATATCTTTTAATGCATTCTATACTGTATACTCAGTGACTGAGCTAATCGAGATTTATTCATGTTTTATGTTCTTAGAATTAAGTTCTTTTCAGTTCTCTATGGAATGATACATGAACATATGAGAAAAAATTATTCCATGCCTTTCCTTATATAAGGATATGATTCATGTCTCATAGGACTAATGGACTCCTATGACGAATTTCACTTAGTGCTCTTCTCTCATAGTTGCAGTCCGCTTTGGATCGCATATCAATCAGTAGATTTGAACAAGATCTGCGAAGACAAAATAATATGAATGATGAAAAATTGAAATATTTTTAATTTCAAGTTTCTTTTTATTTAAAATATTGAAACTTCTAACATAATATCCTTAAAGTCAATATACTACTTTTATTTGTGACCGCATATCATTGATAGGATTTCAGCAGTTCGATATGTATCAATATATGATAGAAAGAATTATTTATATACTGTACTCGATTATCATTTGAAATAAAAAATAATGCTAAGAATAAAAGCGAATATAGTTACAATAGTGCCAGCATCGAAAAATTTTGTCAAAACTTCTGTAGAAAAACTAATAACATTGCGCATATAAATTAGTGATGTGTTCAGAAAAAAGTTGTAGAGGGAACGAAGACTCTCTAGTAACGCTTCTAGGTATTCAAGCTCCTTTCTAAGCAGAACTCAAACGTTCGTAAGAAAGCTCAAAGCCTTCTAGGAAGGCTAAGCCATCTCTAGCATCCATCTAGTTATGTCACTAATATAAAACTCACCTTGATGTATGATATTCAAAATCGTTTTTTTTCTTTATAAAATTAAAAATCAAGTTTTATATTATGACAAAAAAAAAGTTTTTGAAACGAGTCACTATTACCTATCAAATCATCACTTGCATTTGTCTAGTATTTCATTTAAAGAACGTTCATATCTAGATGTGTCTATATACATATCACTATCCTGTGAGTCGAGAGTTCAATGAATCGTTTCGCAATGAATGTTACTTGTTGATACTATGGCAAAGAAAATGAAAAATACAATTATAACTGTTATAAAATAATGACGCATAAAAACTTGTGATATTAGTTGTTATGCTACTCAACAAGATTTTTTTTTCAAAGTGTACTTCAATAACTTGAATATTAATTGTTTTTCTTTTCTGATTTATTAAAACTTTCATTTATATTTTTAATAATATTAATTTAACAAAAAATTGAATACGTTGTTTTTTTTTTTCTTCTGTTCTTATCAATCATAATGAACTATAAGTCATGCTTTGATCGTTTTATTGTTTTAACAGTTGATTGTAATTCTTGAATTGTTCGATTAAGTTTATCATGTAAATTTTGTGTATCAATAAAATTAAATTTATTAACTTCTTTTTGTAATAATAAAAAACGATTTAATTGATTTGTTTCATTTTGTTCTTTTAACCAACGATAATAATCATTTAAATCAGCTGCTTCTTTATCAGTTTCATTTTTATTATGACTATGTTTATTACCACCATGCAATTGTGCATCAAGAAAATCAATTGATGGTTGTATTAATAAACGTTTTGCAGCTTCAATAATAGATGACTTATTATCATTATGTGAATGTGAATGTGGATGTGAATCAATAAGATCTAATGATGGACCGACTTTTTCTAATCGTGTTTCATTTGTCATAGAAATTGTTTCATTTGTCTCCAACGAATGATGAACATGATCATGAATTGAATCAAGAGAAGGCATATTGACCTCTACATGTGATTCGTTTTTAGGAATATAATCATCGATTTGAGATTGATGTTTATCGATAAATGGATTGAAGTAGCCTTAAAAAAAAATCTATGTATAAATAATTAAACTAAAATATAATATGATCAAAACCTGCGATTGGTATACGTGCAGTATTTATAATCAAAATCTTTATCATCATTATGATTAAAGTAAGATTGACTTGTTTCATCATGATTTTTTTTTGCTTAGTGTTTCATTCAATTTGTTGATCTTGCATATCGCCTTCTGCAAATTAACAAAACGTGGCATCAGCTGTATAGTATGATGAAATAATGTCCTTGACTTGCCACGTCGATAGTTTAAGAGAAATGAAGAAGAAAATTTAATCAATACATGAAAGAAAATTTATTTCTCCTTGATATATCAAATAAAAATATAGAAAATTATATTCAAATAGTAATATCTTCGAAATTAAAATAGATAGATTCTTGTCCAAATCAAGATGATATATATAATTAGTGATTGTAGAAATTATGATGATGATTATTCTTTAAGTGAACTCGACAATATAGAAAATGTCATATTCAATAATTGACACTAGTCTTATTTTATTAATTTGATTTTAATTTTCTATATATGTACGACATTTTTCTCATCCATGAAAAAAAAATACATCAAAACAAGAAAACAAAATGATCTAATATGATTTTAAAAACGATTCGATTTGACAATATCGATTGGTTTTCTATTGTCATAAATTGATGGTGCTAGAAAAAAAAAAAGAATTATTCATCAATAATTTACAAACATTATATGATAATCATATATACCTTGTAAAATAATACCACATGTACCAGCAATACAAGCTGTTGTAAATATATAAAGAAAAAGACGATCGATTACCAATGCTACATATTTCCATTCTTCTTTTATCTATTAACAAAAAAAAATAATAATAAAAGATAATAGTTTTGTACTTGAAATCATTGCTTTCAACATTTAAAAGGAAATAAATTTTACTTCAAGGTTGTAATGAATCGAAAAATAGTTTTTAACTTTAATCAAATACAGAGTTAAGGATTAATAGTAGATATTAGAACTGGAATTAAAACCGAAGAATATAAGCTCGGCTAGAGTATTTGGTGTTGAACAGAACTTGTAAGAACTGATCGAATCAATAGAGATTTACTGTAAACTATCGAAATTGCAGGATCCACTAATATTTGTCAAGATCTCCTAAAGTCGATTGATGTTTACTAAAGCTGTTAACATTCAATACGATGTAACAGATTCTACTAGAATCTCGTTAGACCTAATAGTATGCACTAGATTCTAGTTATACAAGCATCCATTAAGTGTTAATCCCCTCGTCTGCAATAGAAGATTCCGATTCTTCTATAAACTTTTAAAAAGCCGTGACCTTAGTCTTTTAAGACTTTTCAGCTCCAGTCTCTGAAAACTAAGCATATATTTTGATGTAAATATACTTAGGATATATGAAAAGTTCTAGTCACGGTGTTTAAAGGATCTTTTCAGATAAGGAGATCTATTCAGAAATGAAAAGCCAACTATATCATGTTGTAAAACTTTTCGAGGTACGTCGAATAGTATATAGTAAATCCTGTTTTCATAAGACTTTAAATGAACTAGAAACAATTTATTGATAGACGACCACACATCCACATCCAAGCATGATAAGTTTCTGAATATTATGATCCTTAGTATTTGTAAAATATTTTTTCTCACATACAATTTTGTAGAGTTTTTGACGAGCTACAACTTCCTCTATGTAACATCTTCGTTCATCTTTTCAGTGTGGGTATGGGTGTGGATATGTAGTCGTCTATCAGTCAATTGACTCTAGGTCCTTCTCAGTCCTATGAAAACAAGATTTACTATATACCATTCAGCGCGTCTCAAAAAGCTCTATAATATGGGATATTTGGTTTTTCATTTCTCAATGGGTACTCTTATCTGGAAAGATCCTTTAAATACCGTGACCAGAACTTTTGGTATCCTCTAAGTACTAATTAAAATTCTAATATTGCGAAAAATCAACTAACTAAGAGGATTTCTCTGTTACGTCCGACGCATCGCTCCTGAAGTGAATGATTTATCAGTTTTGAAAAGATAAGTTTTCTATAGTATCTTCACACTGTTTCTGAGGGATCCTCGTAATTGCATGGTTACATTGTTCAGCACGTACCCAATAGATACTTTATTCAAATCTCTGTATCACTAACCACGGAATGATCCTAGACAAGTCACTAACGATTGTTTGTCTCAGATTACTCGTCCGATAACATGCTGATTATGTTGTGATACACACTTGCTCTAATGGTTAGTTATTGCGTATAGGAAGCTCAAGAATTCCAGCTACAGTTAGTATTAGTTTTAGGGAAGATATTAAGCTATTGAATTTACTTTTTTCTCTTCATCTTCTTGTCTCATATGTGCTGCAATACATTTTAAACCATCAAATGCTTTTTTAATTTCATTTGGATATAATGATGATTGATTTGAATGTTCTGATTGTCTTAAATCATTTTCTTCATCTAAATTTTCAATAATATCTTGATCAAAATTATTATCATTAAGTAAATGTTTATTAATTTGATTGTTTTTATATGATTTTGTATGAAGTAATGGTACAAGAAATTTTGATGTTGTTGTTTTATGTTTTTTCATATAATTTGTATAAAATGTTGATTGTTCACCTGGTAATAGATCAATAGTTTTTGGTCTACGCATACCTAAAAGTTTAGGTAAAACTTGTAAAAAAACTCGTCGTACCCATGGTGGCATTTGATGTGTTAATGGTGAACGAAAATGTATATTAAGTACAGTAACAGTAACAACAATAGATAATGTTACTAATATCATTGTAAATAAAAGATATTTACCAATTAATGGTACAACAAGTGATGTTGGTGGAATAAGTTCAGCTAATAATAAAAAAAATACAGTTAATGATAATAATATTGATATACAAAGTGCCACTTTTTCACCAGAATCTGATGGTAAATAAAATGTTAAAACAGTTAAAAATGATATTCCAACACATGGAATTATTAAATTAACTGTATAAAATAATGTTTTACGACGAATTGTTATTAAAAATGTTATATCAGTATATGTTTGTGGACAACATGTATATTTTCGTACATTTCTTTGTGCTGGTACTTCCAGTATATCCCATTCAACTGAACGATAAAAATCAGTTAAATCAATAGCATATGGTACACCTATTATTATAATCAAAAAAAATAATAATAATAATCTAATCAGTATAATATCGAATTTTTTTGTTTACTATTATTTCCATAAGCAGGTGTTGAACCATTTGTTTGATTTATATGAACAAGATCAACTTGTTCACCATTATAAGTCCATGAACCAAATTTCATTTGACACTGTTGAATATCTTAAATAATAATAAACGAAAATCTGATTACAGGATGCATAAAAATGTTTTTTCCAAGGAGAAACAACAGTATGATTTGAAATAACATCGATAAAAGCTTTTGAAGTGATATTTTGTTCATAGATAGGACCTGATGAGAACTAGAACAAGCTCAAATGGATAACCCTCCATAGGTCTTCCTTCCAAAGCTGTGACCGCTTTACTAGACTTTCGATCCATGGTAACGTATTTAAACAAAAATCGAATGATGAAGTGTTGCTCATATATAGGTTCTATGGTCCTTAGTATGCGCTAAAAGTTTCAATGAAAATGGATCTTTCGTTCTCGAGATAATGAATTGGAAAGAAGTGTCCACATTTCATAGAGAACTCAGAAAAAAACAATTTTTCTTCTATACTCATTATCTCGAGAAAGAAAGAAAGATTCGTTTTAATTGAAACTTTTAGCGCATACTAAGGACCATGAAAATCTACATATGAGTAAAATTTCATCATTCGATTTTTCTCTAAATACCTTGCCATGGGCCGAAAATCTAGTAAATCAGTCATAGCTCCGAAAGAAAGACCTATGGAGATTTATCCTTTTGGGGTTTTTCTAGTCTCACCAGATCCTACCTATGGACAAAATATTACTTCAAAAGCTTTTAATCACCTGATGGAATTCTCTCGTAAGTAATAAGGGTTATAACAACCTGTTAGTGTCGAATTCAGAAAATTCTTCGAACTTTATGCCATATCAGCAGAGGAAAATTCGTTTTTATGAAGTACTTCAAACTACATCTCATTTAAAATGATGAATATAATCAATAATTAGTATGATGACCATTAGCGTTTTTACAACAGGAAGATGAGGCGGATACGAACATAAAATAATTTCAAATAGGTCTATGTTTTTTTTCGAGTTTCTTTATCACAACGGTTGTGTTTCGTCTCTGATAGTAGTTTCACTTTTTATTATTGTTTCAATATTTTCAGGTCAGATATCCAATACTTTGTGATATTCATCATTTTAGATGAGATTTAGTTTGAGCTACCACATGAAAAGAACTTTTCTCTGCTGCTGCTATGGCGTAAAATTTTAGGAATTTTCTGAATTCGATACTAACAGGTTGTTACAACCCTTACTACTTAGTTTTGATAAAACCAATTTTCGATTGGCTTTAATTCAGTATAATATTTGTTGTTGATGTTATTTGAAATCACAACCGTGCAAAAACATTTTAACGCACTCTGAATTCCTCTATATAATATTTCGAGTGACAAAAGTTTTACGACATTTTCTCTTTTAGAAGTATCTGAGATGGAAAATAATAGATTATTTTAAGCCTTGTATCAGAATATGTAGCATTTGATCCTCAACAAAATTCTATTGATCTTAATTTAAAACAGCAGCAATAAAACTTTTTATATGAAGTTTACTTTTCACATAAGTTTTTACTATTTTTGCAACGCTCTTCGTAAGTTATGGAGAAGCACGTAGAAAACTAAGTACTTGTAATTTAAATTTCGACTAAGCGGTCTGTCAACAGACTTTGCAAGTGCTTGATCACAATCTACATTTATGGAGGAACAATAACTTATGTGAGCTA